TGCTCTAGGCGAGAGGCCTTTGTTTGAGTTTGCTAGTCTGTTAAGGCGGTAGAAGGCTGCACTAGCCTGCTGGATTCTGATGAGGCTGTGGTGCTACTAGTTCAGTCTTTGAGCTGTCGAATTGGATGGCTAGCTCCTCTGCTAGTCTAAAGAGATTCTGAATAATTACCATGTATAGATTCGCCACAAAATTGGTGAAAATCTAACTAATTTGGATTGATTTTGAAATAGGCCCATGAAGTCGGCAATGTCTTCAGCAATATGAATAACGCGATGGATGTTCTCCTCACTCTCATAATCCTCCTTAGATTAGAAATTTTCGATTTCGAATAGTACGAAAAATACTTACCGAACCAAAAAAGATACTAATTGTGGCCTCTGCCATGGTTTTCTGGATAAGAGGTAGAACATCGATAGGTGTTGTGGGGCACGATTTTGCCAAGGCGCTGGAACTACTATTGAAAATAGACCAAATCTTTTGAATCATCTTCTCTTTTGATGGGCCCAGATAGTCTTTCAGAATGAAATCCATATCACGGAAAAAGGTTCCACCATGCAGTCGGAATACCGTATGTAGGTGAAGAAACTGCGAGAATTACTCAACTATTATCCTTTCATGGAGTGACACACGGTATCACTCACTTTTGAAATGCCATGCTCGAAGCTGAACGATGATTCATCTGTCAGAACACGACGAGTGAACGCTTCTGATACAAGGTATTCGATCTGTCAAGAATAGAACATTAGCGTCTACTTTCAAGTTTAACATTGCTGAAAAACTACCTTGCCATTTCTTCTGATCGAGATTACGGGTCCATGCTGACGTAGAGCTTGTGTCATTGACTCCACCGGCGTAAAGATGATCTCATTGCGCTTCGCACTATGTGAGTCCACCTTCTGCGAAATAATTTAGGTAATTGTCCACGTACTGTAAGGGGGACAAACGGGGGTAATCTGACAGAATGAGGCTGGTTATTGAAATCAGTCGCAATGAACGCTTCAAAGTTTGCTGACAATGTCGGTGTGTACCTTCACGTGATGAGACCGTACATATGACGCCGTACCTATCGCAGCACACGCGATCAGAAACAGTACGACTTGAGGATATTCTAACAACATTTTAAAATCTAGTTTACATGAAATTATGGTTATCAAGATGTTCTCAATATATGTTGTCCCTCGATACAATGCCAAGTAAGAATTGATTTCTGGAAGTGCATAATCTGCTATGTTGTGGTCAAGCGCATGTCGTAGCTAGGCATCTAATTACGACATGGAACCCTGGATAAATGGATATGCTGTCTTGATTGTATCAGGACCCCTCCACCCATTGCATATGTTTTTAGCTTTGATGACAGTTTTGCTGATGAGCTCTATGAATCCTGGCAAGCGCAAGATAGCGTAACCAGTGATATAACCAAATATATCATGATTATTTTCCTAGATATCTTATACATCGAACACAATTTTGGTACTTTGGTGGGGTCTAATCATGACAACTGGTGTCCATATCACTACCACTATTTTCCTTTTGTGCATGAGGAGATAACACTACTTCGCGAGGTCCTCGTCTCGCCAGGTATCTGGGTATTACACTCGCTTGCATCGATCGGTCTATCGATTGCAGCTCCATGCACGGAGTATTCATGCTGCTGATGGGCTCTGAGGAATGCTCCGCCACGGCCAGCACATTGTACTTACCGCTTCTTGCACATTACATTTTCTGCTTGCAGTTAAAAGAATGCAAGATATACATGTTGATCTGCTCTATTATGGCTAATTCTCCATTCATTGCATAAAAAGCAAACGATTTGCATTTATCCCTCAGAAAAAGCAGATGCTGATGTCATGGGTTGTTTTGAAAAAGACGAAGCTCATAGCGAGGTTAGTGCAGATGCGCAGTATCGTAGCCAAAACAATATTCAAGCTTTAGAGGGGTATCCTGTTACACATGATTTAAGCAACACGAATAAGGTAGCCATGTTCGTTTGTGGTAAAGAAGGGACTACCCAAGGCCGCCTGCGCTGTTCCAGATTGACCGCTTTTTGTTTGCCATTTTGCTGGGATTTCAGCTCGAGAACCCTAGCCACTGGTGTTGCCTATCAGGCGAAAAGAGTTGCGCAACTAATGTAACTCAGTTGAGCTGCATCAACTTGCAGGATTAGGTACCATAAGAAAATGTCTACTTTGACAGATCCGGTTAGTACGGATCGTCCCTATTAGGACGTTGATACTCTTCATTCAAATCCGACAAGTACAGCTTGATTTTTAGAAATTGGACAGTCCGATCAACTACAGTGGATTCCCTTCAAAAATACTCACTTTCAACAAGCTGTGGCATAAACGCCTTCACACCTTGACGCGCTGACTGACATGACATCCATCTTTTCTGTCAAAGGCCTCGTCGCTGCAGTAACTGGAGGCGGGACAGGGATTGGGAGAGAAGTATCGCACGCCCTTGTTGCCGCTGGCGCATCCAAGGTCTATATCCTAGGAAGGCGTGGAGTAGAACTGGACCATTGCAAGACTACCTCTTCCAAACCATCTGCAATTATCCCTATCATCTGCGATGTCACCTCGAGGAACTCTCTTGACGCTGCAACTGCCCAAATTCGGTCCGAAGCTGGTTATATCAACCTTCTCTTTGCCAATGCAGGCATCAACGACATTCCCAAGGCAGTCATGGATCCCTCAAGCGTGCAGTCCCTTCAAGAAGGGCTCCAAACCATAGTCGATGTGGACATGTACGCAGAAGTGTATCGTATCAACACACTTGGTACACTCGAGACCATCATAGCTTTTCTGGCCCTTCTCGATGAAGGTAATCGCCGCAATATCTTATTCCAAACGTCCCAAGTTCTCATTACTTCATCTATAACCGGAACCGCAAAAGCCACATATGGCAATTTTGGCTACGCCGCTAGCAAAGCTGCAATTGGTCTTCTAGCGAAACAACTCTCTGGTATCCTTATGCCGCATCACATTCGCATCAATGTGTTAGTTGCGGGCATCTATGGACAAGGCATGACAGCTGGTATGCTGCAGATGCTTACGCGCGACGATCCAACGAAGAAGGGTTCAATTCAAAGAAAATATATTCCTGCGGAACGGGCGGGGAGCGTGATTGACCTCACGGGCACGGTTTTATTTTTGGCAAGTCGGGCTGGAGGGTACATTTCAGGCGCGGAGATTGTGTCAGATGGAGGATTACTCGCTGTGCCACCATCCTGGGCTGTGCCAACCCCGCTCTCAGAATTCTTTGGCGACATAAGTTAGGAGTGTACGTCTCATATTGTATTTACAGTAAGAGGCTTCATTGACAGATACATTTGTACACTACGTGGTTGAGGTTACAGAATCATATGACTCAGTCGAAAATTGCAGTGAATCCAACACGTGCGATTGAACTTTTATCGGTTGAATCTCCCTTTTACTGATCAACGTGCTTGGCCTTTAAGATAGTGTTCGGCTCTCGATACGTCCCGCATAGAATATCCCAATGCGGTAAAAATTGGCCATAATTGAAGTTGGTATTCTTATGATGTACAAGGTGGAAAGGTACGCTGTTATCGTCTGCTCATTTAGTCACGTTAGCTAGACAGAACCTTTTATTATCGAAAGATCACCAGTAAAACATACGCAGCAAAAAAGGACCAATATTCGAAGCTATAAACACGACCAGCTGTGCGACATCTGACATAGGCAACAGAAAACTGTATGCATACACGGGTAAGCTCATGGCGAATGCTTCAATCGGGTGAAAGGCGTAAGCGGAGAATGCCGTGGGCGAAGTGAAACTGTCCTTGGGTATAAGTGGGTTACTCATTTCCGGCTCTTATAAGCATCACGTACCGATGATGGTCCTTATGCGTTCTCTCAAACAGAAAAGGCGCATGGAACATTCGATGTAGCCAATACATTGCCGTTTCGCTGAAGAGGAAGAATAATGGGTACTGAGCAATCTCGTACCATACGGTTGTGGTCATGTATGGGTAGATTCTTGCGTACCCGTGTATCTGAGCTAGGAAGATGGGCACAGTAGCGAGACTCAGGTTGACAATAACGAGAAGGGAGCTGTATATCTCGAATTTTATCTGTTCTTTGTCCCATTTCGGCTTTCGGTGGAGGGCGGGCTGAAAGTGCAAACCATGGCAGAGCGAGCCGAAGGCGAAGTAAAAGAAAATAGTTGTAATGCTATTTACCCAGATTAGATAGGATCAATAAAAAGTTACGAAAGTCGGATTCGAGTTTGCTTACAGAATTAAGAAGAATATACTTGTGCTTTGACGAAAGAGACCGGATCTTTCCCAGTTTGATGGCTCCAGTATGGAATTACAAACTATTTTATGGACAGATCCAGATATAAAAAATGATTCTTGTCCTGAGCATAACATTCTTCGTAAACCGTGACTAATCGTTCCGTACATGGAGTCGAAGACCAGGGGATCCACCAAGTCTAGGAGTATGTTCATGATTCCGAAATCAAATGGGACTCCAACTTGAGATAAGTGCGTGATATGAATTATTTTTAACAATGTGAGCTTCTGGTACAAAACCGTTACTGTAGCTCTTCAGAGTTGAACGCTGCTATCTCCCAGAATCTATGGTTTCAAGCTGTTTTTTGCTGTTGTAAAAAGCAATGAAGTGTGGTTGTCTGCGATATGAAGATCATGGACACCGCTTCATGTAAGCATACGCAGTGATATGCTGTTGCATAAGTTGTGCATCAGAAGCAAGTATGATGCATTGCCGATCACCTAAGACCTTTGACATCGTTAACGTGCAGTAGCTCATAGGAAAAGGTGCGGTGAGACTCGGGCAGGCCAGGAGGCGGTGAGAAGTATGGAGGACATAGAAAAGCAAAGACTATATATCTAGGCTTTGAAAAGTCGGGTGAGCACATCAGCTAAACCCAACCACGCATCATTGTGCAATGGCAGCAAAACTCAGTCCCATCAATGGCTTCCATCCGGTCTTTCAAGAAGCCATTTGCTTGTTTTTGATTATCTCGAGTCCGCTGGTTTGTCTGTTATACTGGATAGCATACGAATACTACGAAGCAAGTCTCTCAGACACTGTTTTAGCAATCAGATCGGCGAAAGATATCATTGGCTTTGTTGTAGATCGTATCCCACGACCGACGTTAGCTTCATCATTGGCATATCTTGGCTGGGTTGTTTACCAAGCTGCATTGTATCAGTATGCTCCAGGTCCTTTACACATCGCACCGCGAACTCCAGGTGGTCGGCGGCTATCCTACCGGCTTAATGGGTTGACTGCCTGGGCTCTAACTCTATTTACGGCGTTAGCAGCTTCTAAAATCTTCAATATTGAACTATCATGGATAGCAAAGCACTGGGGACAACTTCTCGCTTCTGCCAACCTTTATTGCGCGGTCCTTATAGCCATATTCAGGTATAAGTCGAAGACTTGGCCAGATAATCATGGTGAAACAATTTCAATGGGTATGTGTAAATGATTATGAATGCTCGATGACCCTTGCTGACTCGGATATGTGCCCTAGATGGCTTTTGGCGAGACCTAATGAATGGTGGTGAATTACACCCACGGACAGGAGAGCTATTCGATTGGAAGCATTTCAATGCTAGCCGAACTGGAGGCATATTGCTCTGGACTCTTATGTCAGTCTGTGTCTTTTTCTGGGAGTACTGAGACACTCATAATATCCAGTGATCTTTCGTTTGCCGCATGGCAATACGAGCTTCATGGCTTCGTGAGCAACTGCATGATCATTGTGGTGATATTTCGTCTTGTTGTCGTTACTGAGTTCTTCTGGTTCGAGAACTGGTTTCTCGAGACTCTCGATGGGAGCCATGAACGGTTTTCCTTCTACAGCATATATGGCTTTGCAGGTATGATGCCTCATCTCTGGACACTCCAGTCACAGTACCTCGCCATCCATCCAGTTTCACTCTCAAAGGCCAAGGTGGTTATGACAGTGATATTTTTCGTCATAGGTTGGGCTGGACGTCACTTTGTTGATCAACAAAAGAGCGTGGTAAAAGCCACCAATGGATATTGTACGATATGGTGGAACAAGCCGAGGATTATTCGCACCAAGTACACAACGTCTGATGGAAAATCCCATGAAGGTGTTCTGCTATGCTCAGGCAAGTCAAAGCAATTTCAGCATTCTTGACTAAGTCAATCAACTAATTCAAAGTGGTCATACTAGGTTTTTGGGGTATTGCTCGCCATTTAAACTACGTAGGAAGCGTGATATATACCTGGGCATCCTGCTTTGCGTGCGGCACCGATTCATTTTTTCCGTATGCGGAGGCGGTGGTAATGACCTTGATGTGTATTCATAGATGTCACCGAGACGAAGCTCGATGTCAAGAAAAGTATGGCAAGGCATGGGATGAATATTGCCGCGAGGTCCCCTGGCGTATGGTCCCTGGTTTATATTGATCGAATGAAGGGGTTCTGCCGTCAGTATTAACAGGAGCGCTAATCGATTACGTTAAACAATCACTATTCGTGGTGTCCTGAAAACATCACTAGATGATTCACCAAAGAAGGCACATGCAGACCGTTATTGTGGAAGAAATGTTCTACAAGCTGTTTGACATGAGTTTTTACTGTGAGTGTTATCGATATATTGAAATAGAGGCTACCTTTCACATGCATAATTAAGCTATGTAAATTAACTTCACGCGACATCTTTACCAAGCTGATGAGCTACCATTTCTCATCACTTTCATTAGACGATGATCAGAAAATGTACGCTTTCACTCAATATAGGCCTGCCACCTTCATATAATTTACTTGGAATGTCGACTGGTCCGTAGGGTATCTGAAGTAGCTGTATGAGAATGTAAGTCTGTTCTCATTGTCAGGACACATGTATTTCAAACCATAGTGTTCAATAGCTTTAGCACTAAGGATAAGATTCTCATGCCAATCAGATTGATAGCCAGGCTTATACCCGCCGAGCAGTAATAATACAATACCCAAATTCCTTCAAATTGCTCATTTTACTCATATCCTTAGTCATATCCTCGATCTGACGACCCAAGTCCTTATTGGCCAACATCAGTGGGTCGACCTTCATTCCTTCGAATGTTCTACTGATTGCTTCAAATGTTCCTACCACGTTTCGTCTCACATCCGTAAAAGACTCGATAGTGAACCCAGCGTCTAATAAAAGACGTTTGTATCGGTCTGCTGTGGGCAAACGAGATACTTGGAAGAATTGACACAACCGCGCGAGGAGTTGGGCGTTTCTTTCGTCAACTGAGCCTTCATGAGAGTCGAAAAATACATCCCCAATGATGAAGGGCGCGCCAGGCCGTAGAGTGCGTGCTATTTGTGCGAGGGCTAGGGGTTGTTCATCGATGTGCACAAGACATTCGATAGCGTAAGCAGCATCGAAAGATGCAGTGGGGAGACAGGTATCTGCTTCCTTGATGTCAAGATGCAGAAACTCGAGGCCGGGTCCAGACAATGGATTATCGACATTGATTGAAAGCTGGGGCGCAATTTTCGTTTTTGCAATATCCATCTGAGACTTGCTATTTGTAATTCCTGTGACAAGCGCATCCAGCTTTGTCGCAATCTGGAGAGCGGGTTTGCCAGTACCGCAGCCGATGTCAAGAATGGAAAACCTATCTGACTGTCTCGGTTGTGAAAGGCGAAGTCTTCGTGCAATTTCAGCGGTCATGCGATCGGTGGCGTCCGTAATTGTGGATCTTTTGTCATTGGACGACGTAGAAATGTCCCAATAGCCGAAGTGGAGGGATCCGCCAAGTGCACGACATAGAGCGGGAGTCATAAGGTCGTAGAATTCCGCTACGGACGATGATAGTAGATTAGCCATGATATTGAGCGGACTAAGCTTTCGCTTGTTGGAATATTTGCCAAGTATCTTAAGTCGATTTTAAATCGCACATCTGGGTCCCAGAGAACTCTATGAAAGTAGTGATGTGACGACCAAAAGCAAAAGCCACGATAGGATAAGCGTCCTTGTCCCAGCGGCTTTTTTTCACCAAGAAATTACACGTGTTCGTGACTCAAGGGAATACCCTGGCTGCCACAAGGATTCAGGTTCCTTCACCGACCTTTGGGCTTGCAGTCATTATTGATTGCTTTTTCGCCCTTACATGCAGCTGCCGAAAAGATTTTAGACACACATGCCTTCTGTAAATGGTACAGCGCTGGATGTGTGTTGCAAAACAGTTCAGTGTGATTGGCCAATCCTCGATCTGATGACCGCTCTTTTAGAATGCCGTCTGCAACGGTGAAGCCGCAGTTTCTAATCACTGTACCAAAACATGGGTATTTTATGCATTTTCTGTCGGTCTGACGTGGCATACAGGGTAGTTGCTTCAAGCACCGCATCTGATCAAATGAACACGCCAAGTAATTTGCCATTTCAGGCCTGCAATATGGACCAACATCCTATCTCAGTCCTCTGTTCCTATCATTGCAGCTTGAACGCTCACAACATAATCAGTTCTTCCCTTATGATGCCTTCCTCTGTGTTGTTTGCAATCATTATTGCTACTTTCGCGTGCTTGTTTCGATGGATTTTCCAGCTTATTCAAGCTCGGCGGTTGATGTCTAAGCTGAGAAATGCTGGGCTCGTAAGTCATAACATGACCTGTCTTGACATTCTCTGACAGCGGATCCAGCCAATGCCCAAGTATCATCCAATTTTTGGACATTTTAAAGAGTTTCTAAAACACAAGGCAAATGTACCGACCGATGCGACAATCAATACCGTCCTCTTGCACATGCTGGACGATTTTCCCGATGGAGTCTTCTACCTTGATCTATCGCCTTTTGCGAAACCACTTTTGATAACGGCGACGCCGTCTTGTGGACAACAGATGCAACGGCATTCTCTACACAAGCCCATGGAATTAGTCAATGCATCCGTGCGTCTGACTGGTGGACCAAATCTTTTCACAATGCCCGACAAGACATGGAAAACGTGGAGTTGGGTCTTCCCACGAGTGATCTCAGATAAAAGCTGACAGCTTTAGGGAAAATTTTAGAACCTTGTTTTAGCTCAGCTTACATCCTGAGCTTGGTTCCAGCGATCATACGTGAAACCTGCTCATTCGTAGATAATCTCGAAGACCTCGCGTACAAGAAAAGCCTTGTGCAACTAGAGGACCTGACTCTCAACCTTACCATAGATGTGATAGTTGCTGTGTCTCTGTGAGTAAGGTCTTGCCTGCATCAAACAGGAGACAAATTAACGACTGCCCAGCGATATTCAAATAAATTGTCAGAAGGAAAAGAGTGAGATAGCGTCTAGTTTACGTACCTTGATTGAATGCACTTCAGTTGGATTAGATCTGAACCCGGTCAGCCGTCTGAACCCTATTCGACCCTTGCTGCGATACATTTCGGCTAGGAAGCTGGATAACTTAATTCTTTCCGAGATCGATAACCGTTATAACACTCTAAGAATGGCTGCTAAGAAAGAAAAATACCTTTCGGATTCAACATCGAGCTCCATAGTCACAGCGATTTTGCAAGGATATCTCTTCGATCATGGTCCTGCAGCTTCCCTTAACAAGCAGTTCAGGAGCATTGTTTCCTCTCAAATACGTCTCTTTCTGTTTGCTGGTCACGACACAACTGGTAGCACGTTGGCGTACTGCTATTTTCTTCTCTCAAAGCATCCAGCGGCACTCCAAAGAATCCGAGCTGAGATCAATGATATCTACGGAACTAGCCATTGCCGAGATGTTGCGACTGCGATACGGGATGATCCACCAAGTTTGAATCGACTCATTTATACATTATGTATCATTAAAGAAGCTCTTCGACTTTACCCGCCGGCTTCCGCTATAAGAGAAGGGAAGCCTGACCTTGTGATGGTCGATGAGAGTGGCCGCACATTTCCTTCTGCCGAATGTAACGTGTGGCACATACATCTCTTATTGCAGCGGAATAGCAAATATTGGAAAGACCCACATGAATTCAAGCCTGAGAGATGGCTCACCAAGCCAGGAGAGGCGCTCTACCCACCAAAAGGTGGCTGGCGACCGTTTGAATTCGGCGCTCGGAATTGCATTGGGCAGACTTTAGCTATCTTTGAGCTGAAGATTGTATTAGCCATGACAGTCGGCCAATTCGACATTATACCAGGCTATGACGATTGGGATCAAACACACCCGAATCCGTGCATTAGAACAGTTCTAGGAAACCGTGCCTATCAAGTCGATGGGGGCGCAGGAGGCGCACATATTGCGAATAGGTTCCCATGTTATATACAATCTAGATAGTTACAGCAATACTTTGCAACAGGTAATTCAAGTAAGTTTCTAGATTTAAATTAGCTTACTCTTGTCGATGTTTTAATTAAAAAGACTTATTTAACTGGTAGTTTATACTCTCTCGCACGGACGGTGAAACAGGCCAAAACACCCTATTAACCATAGTAGTCGTCGGGTTAGGTTTGAAATCAGCATCGCCAGGTGGCGACACGCAGATGGAATCGCCCACTGATTTCTCGATTTTATTACATAGATATCCAAGGACAGGGTTCCCTGCACAAAGGAAAATGTGTTAGCTTCCATGCGGCAAGTATTCAGCATATGAGTAAGGAAGCAGAGACTTACTGTATATAGCTGAACCTGGCTAAGTCTGTTACTTTTAGCAATATCCAGGCAGGTATCATTCGCCTGAACAACATATGTCTTGCAAGTGTTTAAGATGCAGAGATCCCCACTTTTTGAAAACTTGGCACAAAAAGGTGCGAGATTGTTGTTGGCCAGCAGCTAACTTGTACCCATTCCCTGAGCTTCAAAGATTGATCGGCATGTGTCGCCAGCTTTGATGCTGTAAATTTTTCTAGAACACTCGGTCGGCGAAGTACCCCTGGGATTCGCCCTTCAAGGAAGCCAGTCTCAGCTCTCAGACAACGCATGGTGATCCACATACCCAGGAAAAGGAGTGGTTGAGCTTGCTAGCGGAAACCCCGTCTTTGAACAACTTGCTGTCAAAGAGCTGTATTTCTCTCGGAGTGCATTTCCTCCGTTGATGGGTGAGCCGGCTTGAAACTGATATGCCTTGATGATGCAATTGTCACACATGTCGAGACTCGTTTGCTCCTGTCTTCCTGTTGAAGCCATTGAGTCAGTGTGCACGCATTGGCGAGAAACTACCCCCTAAGGTATTCAGGATGTTTATTAAAGTGTATCACCCAAACTTGCCCAACACTATAGGCGACGAATTTGTTGGCGAAATAAAGGTTGATGGAAGAAATTCAGAATGCAAGAAAGATAAAAGAGTTGTGGGCTACATATGTATATGGGGCAGGAAAAGGCTTCAATAGAAGTTGCGCCCAATATACCCTTAAGTGATTCTTTGTCTAGTACAGATTCAACTCGCCTTACCTGCGCCGTTACATCCCTAGCTCCGCAACTCACAACGCTAGTTGCTTCTTTTGCTAACATAATTGCAATCTGAAAAGGAGTTAGAATTGGCGACACCAGACAGGACCTTGGACGTTGCGCGCAATCTAACCACGTAGACAGTCACGTAGGCAGGATGTCACTCGCGGATCATCTGACTAGTGAGATGATATATAGTAGGAGAACGTGTCAGCAGCTTAGCCAACGCTAATCTCAGCCTCACTGACTTAACTATAATCGTTCAGACCTGACAGCCACTACATATGCAAGCAGCAAACGACAGTATTGCTGTCTACACAAAAGCTTCATTGCAAGCATCCAAAGTGTAAAGAATAGTCAAAAATTAAGGTCTGTATCCTAAGATTCTGCATGCCATCTGGTTGTAGTTGTGTGGATTATAGTAGAGCGTAAACCAAGCATTCCACCATGTAAGATTGTCCATCACACATCAAGAGATAGTATACTGCTGACCAAAAATTAGTTTTCAGTTCGCGCATGTCATTTACTCAAAGAGCATGGTTGATCTTCAGGTCACTTACCCAACATGTACTGGCGCCCAAGAAAGAGTTTGCGGGGAAAGGAGTTCTGACACAACGCTATCACATCTTTAGTAAGCGTCCTAGGAGATGCGCAAGAGCTGGAACCCAATTTCGGCTGACCCTGCATTGTCTGTGCGCGTCCATTCAAATTGACGTTTGTCTGGACGGCGGCGCGCGCCACTACCAGTCCAGAGGTTAGGGGTATACAAAAGAACCTCAGATTGATTGGGCCAGCATGTTTAGTTGGACTGATCGCCCGAGGATCGACCTGATATAAGGAGGGACTACCCTTGATGCGGCCAATCTCTCGGTCTTACTAAATCTGCCAAGTCGCATTCAAAGGGCCCAAATGCATGGCCACCAGTCAAGCATGGCCTATTGTCTTCCAGACTTATACGGTAGATCGTCTCGTGTTGCTTGATAGAGGAAGGATATGCCATGCTTATGATTCGGTGCATTTGCTCTCCTAACGCTCAACAATTATATATGTAATTGGTGAGGGTTGCGCAATTTCAAAAATCCCTCAATCGATCCACTAAGACGATTGTCATTGTACTCAACTGTTTCAAAAATGGAAATCTACTCAATATTCTTTGGTGTCTTTCTAGGATTGTTTTTGCCCACTGCAGGGAAAGCATTGCAACAGACTTGGAGCATATGGCAACGCACAAGGACCTTGCATCATGCCTATCTCTGGATGATATGGACGGACACAATAGTGAATTTTGTATTTGCTATCGTAACATATCTGCATCTATGTGGTATCGTCCCTCCAAGGTCAGTCGTTTCGATTTTATGTGGCAGTTGCCATAGAACCTTGTTTTTACTTAGAGAAGCCTCAACTAACTAAGCTGTAAAAGTTATGGCTTTTTTTTCGGTACTGGTACGTAGTACACTCAAATGAAACCCAAAATTCCTGTCAATTTTGACTGACTGAGACGAAAAATAGTGTTATTATGGTCGTTCCAAACGCAACTTCTTCCACTCATCATCGCCAATCGTGTTAGTTTGATCATGGTTGACAAGAAGAAAGCCCGGTTGCTCAAATGGGGACTCTTCATAATCATTGGTCTTGTGAACATATCTGTTGGCTGCATTTGGATTCCTTCACAAATGAAAGTAAGCCCAACTATCATTGCCATAAATCATGTATGGGAACCGGTCGAAAAGTCGTTCTTCCTTGTCGTTGATTTAGCACTTAACGTATACTTCCTGTACCTGGTACGCTACCGACTTATTGCCAACGGATTGACAAAGTACATGCGACTTTTTCGGTTCAATACAGCAATTGTGGGTGTTTCCACATCTATGGATGCATTGCTTTTGGGACTACTAAGGTTGCCAGATGGCTATACGTAAGTTTTCTCACACGCATTCTTGACTTCCCTTTCCTTCTCCCTATGTTCTAATTTATTGGAATTGGTCCTTTGCGCCAAGATCAAAACTAACATCATTTCTTAGTTATGTTCAATTTGCACCTGTTGCTTACATTGTTAAACTCAATATCGAACTTTCGATGGCGGTCATGATCTCGAAAGTTGTGCGCAGCAGTTCTGACAGACGTGACGATCGGTATGCTGAAGGAAACCATACTTTACACGGAATCCATCGCACGAACAGCTCTACTCTTGGATCTCGAATACCGCAACAAAATAGCAATCATTCTGTTGCAAAAGTAGATGCTCATAATGAGACTGCAAGCAGTAATTGGCCTGTATCTTATCATAAGCAAGATCAGCATCGGGGTATTGTAACAATGGTAACAACTTCGGAGCTACCCGAGGATAACTGCACAGACGATAACTCTGAAGAAGGTATTCTTAGGACCGTGACGATGGCCGTAAGGTCCGAGTATCGAGAAGAAATTCATGATAAGGAGGACCCATGATGCTAGTTCAGAAGATTTTCATTCTAAATCTAACTTAGGTAGTCTATTCTTAGGCAAATAACTATACATATTAGTGTTGGATTATAAATGCGTCTTAAGGATAGTAACTAATGCTGAATGTGATAGGTATTGATTGATGATGATGATCTATGTGTTCGTCTGTCGCGTCTCGTCTGATCTTACATACGACGACCGTCTCTTAAGTACAGCTAATCTTACGACCCCTCGTATCTACCATAGGTCTTTCTAGCTTCTATATGTTGGTTTGCTGGCGAAGCCAGCAAGAGTGCTTCAGAATTGGCTTATGCGTTGCTATACCTTACCTCAAAAGTGTCTTCCCTCAAAAGTATCTATCCTTAAAAATGTCTTAGTAGCAAGATAGATAAAATATCTAATATAAGCCGCGAGTTATTCTCCTAAGCGCAGCCTATAACTAAACAAGCTAATCTTTATTTAAGCCTTAATTAAGATTAGAAGTAAAAAGATATAATACTCTAGAGGTTGATAATAGTTCTATAGCGCTTAAGAGGGCTAAGTAATAAAAGCTAAGTAGGAAAATATAGTATAGTATTACGTAACTAGCTTATGTTATATATTATGATTTTCTTTTATATATAGATAGGCACCTTCTTTAATT